TTCGACGTAACATCTAGTATACTGCATATTATATAAAGTCATGATATACCACGATTATTTTAATAATGTGTCTATTAATCTATGACTATTATCTATTGCAGGGTTATTTCCTTATAAATAAACATTGCTTCATCCGAACTTAATTTCGCTCAATAAATCATGCTATATTTTCGCTTTATATAGTATACTAATAATTTCCTTATAGAGTGAAATTACGTTCGGATAAAGCAATATCTACTTACAGGAAAATAGCCATGAAATAGATAACAGACATAGATTAATTGACACATCAGTAAATAAAGGTTAGATCTAGTATAGATCAGTAAATAAGTATACTACATCTTTATAGAGCGAAATCAAGTTCGGATGTAGCAATGTCTAGTTACAGGAAAATAACCATTTAATACATAATCATTACTTTACATAATATGCAATAAGCATTCTAGATCTTAGATGCAAGATATCTTAGCAAGATCTTAGATAAGTATACTAAATCTTAGATCGGATGAAGAAATATCTACCTGCAGGAAAATAGCCATGCAGTATCATTTGAGATTAGCAGCTAATCTTAGAAGTTAGCAATTTTATCTCGATGACTATGGCAGATAGTGAATAGTAAGACTAACATGCTTAATTTACTTTAAAACAACCGTTTACATTCATCGATAATGAATAAGAATCCTTGAAATTAAAATCCTACGAGCATCATGCACAAAATGAGTAAAGTATGATATTTAAGACGAAGGAAAATATCAAATTTATTTATAAAGAAGCTTGAACAATAGTAGAAGATTATAAAGGAAAAAGGTGAGATGTTGTTGTTTCATTTACTGCATGTCGATGAATGTTGATGAATGAAGTGGTATATGGGGATGTGAAGCAACAAGGACTATAATCCCCTAATCACTATATATATGAACAGTCAGTTTTTCTTATTTTCAATATGTCACTCTCCACAACGCTCTACGATCGTGTTAGACCGGGACCTACGGCTTAAAGTGGATTCCGAACCACTACAAACATCCATGGCACCGCCGGGACTCGAACCCAAAACCTGTGGTACCGAGCGCCAGAGCGCTAGCCGCTCGGCCATTCAGGCCCCACTGCATGTCGATAATTACAACAATATTCAACGTATTGCCACCAGCATACGTCTGAGATCGGAATAAAACTTTTTGTTCAGCTTTGTTATGATGTTAGACATCTACGAGCCTGGATAATTCGGTTTGGCAGAACGTCAAAATAGCGCCATGATTAGCTGTAAACCTAGACTTTTAGGTTTGGTATGACGCTCTACGGTCATCTTGTGCACACGAGGGCTAAGCGCGACCTATAGTTTAAAGACTGGGACCTACAATTTAAAGGGAATTCCGAGCCCCTCACAAACATCCATGTACCGGCCAGGATACGAACCTGAAGCCTGTGGTACCAATGACGGTAGCGCTAGCCAATTGGCCACTAGGCCGCTATACTTTTAGAAAAAATTGCAGGAACATGATCTTGCACCATGAATGTTCCTATAAATAGTTTTGTACTGATAGATGGTTGGCTGGTGTGGGTTTATGGAGCAAGGACCAGTTTTAACCAAGCTACGCCAAATAATTAGTAAGATTTCTATCGATAAAATTACAATTCCATAAAAACGATTAAAATTTCCTTTATTGTGTAAAATGAAAAAATAATTCGATAAAGGTTGTTTTAAAATCTCGAAAATCTATATAACACAATGTTTAAAACTTACTGCTATTATTGAATTAAATTAAAATAAATCAATCAGAAATTATCTCATCATTATATTAAACTGTGTATTAGCTTCTGTGTCAGCGAAGAGTTAGATGACACAGAAGCAGAGGGCTGGCTGACGTTAATTCGGATTCTGACATTAATTTGGACTGGGCTGAAGTTCTAACATAATTCGTAATTCATGTTTAGAATGTTTATTTTTTTATCATAAACCACTGCATTCGTTTTTTTTTTTTTTTTTTTTTTTTTTCCTGTTAAAATTTTGTTTTGAATTTAGTTTAGCACCTGGTGGCTTTTTGCGAGGAGCAACTTGAGATTTGGTTTGGTTTGTTGCTCTACTGTCACTTTGTCCTAATTAGACCAGCACCTACAGTTCAACGGGGATTCCGAATCACTCACAAACATCCATACCATCACCACGATTCGAACGTGAAGCACTAAAGGCTGGAGCATTGGCCATCAGTCTGCGGGCAACTTGAGAAGATGTCGAAGACTGTGGTATAAGTTTAATTGAGGTAGCTGATTCAGTACACTTGGATCGTGCAGAAAAAAAAGGTCACAGGTTTTGTTGTGGATATTGGTTGGTGGTGGATCAGTGTTGGTCAAGCAATGTAAAACAATATATAATATAATCACATTTTAATGTTAAAAGCGATTAAAATTCTAGTTTAATAAATCAATTAAGGAGTGAATTTCAAACAACTACTTATTCCAAATAATTTAGCCGAAGTTGTAATACAATCACAGTCATTGACAAGTCAAAAGGTTAAAATTGTATTTAAACAAATTCGATTAAAAAAAAAATTCCAATTTGAAATCATCTCTTTCTTGTCATACTCGACAACATCACTATTATTAGAGGAACAGTTAGTTGTTGATGTCTCGGAAAAAAAAAAGAATGGTAAATCTTTTCTTACTAAGTAAGCTTCCCATAAAAAGAATGGTAAATGTTTTCTTACTAAGTAAGCTTCCCATGAATTATGCTTCATTTTGCCAATCGCTGGTTTGTTTTGGCATATGGAATCATCTTTTTATTTTAACCAAACGGTTTGATATTTGCTGATAAATTGTATTGAATATTTCGTTTGGATTTGGCAATCGATTGGGTTTTATAAATGTTAGCAAATGTAGAGTCAGACAAGCTAGAAGTAAAAAGATCTGATATCATATGGACGGAAGTAGCAGAGTCGTTAGATTTTGATTGTTGGTGGGAATATGGTTGTAGTTTTTAAGTAGTGGGCAAATTATTTCTGTGGATTATCAGTCATGACAGAAAAGGAACATGACGGCTTTATTATTACACTGTTTATTATTACTGGTTTGCTTTTTATTATAAAAGCATGTGTGGCGGGGGGAGGGGGGTTAAGGATGGGAGTTATAAAAGCATAAAGGTGAGGTCTGGTGAAGATAAGGAATATATTTTCCCTATAAATATATTTTCCCTTAATTTTAATTCAAGTGCAGATGTAGAACAATGCAATGTATTTTTCAATTGACGCCCTGTAATCCTGACATTCTCAGTAATCCTACAGGCGTCAAAATTCCTTGTCAAAATTCCATCACACAGGCCCGAGATAAATAGCATAATCCACCATTAAATCCACTCCAAAGCAATCGTAATGTGCGCCGATGGAAATCAAAAATTCGTCCTCATGCGCACTATCTAATTACGCTTAATTTAATTAAACTTAACTTTCATTCTTAACTGCGTGGGTTTTTTTTTTTTTTTTTTTTTTTTTTTAAAAAAAAAAAAAAAAAAAACTACATCAATCTTATTTCATGGAAGAAATTTAACTTTTTATTTAAAAAAAAATTAACGTAAAATTTTAATTAAAAAAGTTAGTATAGTAAATATTTCTATTCTCGGAAACGGTGACTACTATCTGAGATTCTCAGTGACTATAAAAACCGGTTTGTTTTTCTTCTGACTGAATTAACTGGGGATGGTCAGTCGTTAGCTAAGATCTTTGCTGATATATATACATAATTAATGTATAGGAAACTGAATAGTCATAGAATAATAAATGGATCATAGAATAATAAATAATAAATAAAACTGGTCATAGAATAATATTGACAGTACTACTTAACTTGAGGCGTTAGGATCTATAGTAACCACTAATAAAAACGCATATCATCATTCAGTTGTGGAAAAGGGCGAAAACCAAGGGGAAGCTCTAAGTTACAAAGTGGCCTATGAACTTACATAGGTCAACTTCCAATTTGAAACTATATAAAGGGGTCTGATGGCCGAATAACTAGCACTCGAGGCCTAGCCAGGTGCCAGGTGTTCATTCTGAAATACCTGCAGTCTCTTTATATTAGTGAGGGAAGTAGAAGCCCAAATCGGGCTTCCATAAACCAAAATAGGTCTAATGATAAACTTATAGAGCAGAAGCTTGTGTTTGATCGCTAGCCTACACTTGCGAGAAATTAGGCAGTTGAGTTTAATACTCGCACCAGTTGCTTTAGCAACGGTGTTCTTGATAATTTTGGGTCTAGAAATAACCCTAGGTACAAATTTATGAATACCAACGGCACGCGGGGTTCCCAGGTGATCACCCTCACAAGTACTGACCTCGCCGATGATGCTTGACTACTATAATCGAACAAGAACTGGTATATTCAGTATGGTATGGATGTTTTCCACGAAATCTACTTACGAAGTATTTAGAAGGATATTTTAAGCCACTACCTACACTACGCCTAGAACTGAGACCCCCCCACTTTACAGTTTGGGAATAACGTGGATGAAATTGTGAACATACACAATGAAGGCGGATAGAGGAAAAAAAAGGGAGGGGGGCATGAAATTCGCAATTATCTGAGCCAGAAGGGAAGATACTCTCTAGGGGGCAAAAGAAAATACTAGATGTATGCGAGAATGAAATATTTTACAAAATTCCCTATTCATGCTGACAGTGATTGAACAAGGAAGATGTTATTTCAAAAGAGTATAATAGAAGTAGGGACCTGGATGGGCGAATGTGTGGCTTCTCGGTGCTGCAAGTTTTCGGTTGGAGTCCATAGACGTTTATAGTGAAAATCTACTTTAAACCCTAGGTCCCGATCTAATATGACTGTACAGCGTTAGTGCTGGTAACTGTACCCCGTAAAAACAAAGCATCACCTGTCCCAAAATCTGCCAGTAGGCAGACGGACTTGCCCCACCATGGGACTGTTGCGGCCCTGATGATGATAATAATAGAAGTAAATATCAAGAAGAACCTAAGTTAATCTTAAAGAACACAAAATGGGAATGATGGTTTTGGTTTCGCTCTACCGTCATTTTGTGCACACTTTAGGCTAAACAGACCGGGACCTACAGTTTAAAGTGGATTCGAACCTGCAGCCTGGGAAGCCTTAGCAAACCACTTCTCTACGGTTGATTTTCCTGGTGCAAAGTCCGAATAATGTTTATCAAAGCAAGCCTTGGCTTCAATAGCATTTTTTTTTTCGCTAAAAAGGCAATGATTTATTAACACATGAAATTACTTTTTATTCATTTTTTCAAACCCACAAAAGTTGCTTCACTAAAAATGCTATAACTCGCATACTAATAGTGCAGGAGCTGTTAAATTTATACACGTGTCTTTTGAAGATTAGGCCTAACTAAAAATCATATGGGTTTAATACTAGTAGCGCCATCTATGTGTCAGCCTACGAACTTTTCAGCCCATATGTTATAATATATATATATATATATATCCCTGCCCTAGAATGACCTTCACTCTTAACAACATGAGGAGGAAGAGACCCTTTGATGGAATACAGAGCTACTGCAGACCAAGAAACTGGTTTGTTCGCGGATTTAAACCGAGGTGCTCAGCCTGTCTACAAGAAACGGAGGGCAACAGCTGTAACTCCGCCCATCGCCTTTTTCTGGAAACGGGCATCAACATGCTGGATAAACAAGTGGTTTATATACCTGACTTTGTTGATGACACACACCACATAGAATCAAACCCAGTAAAAAATCCATAGTTAGTAAAATCAACAAAATACCAAAAAACAAGTAATATAAAAAAAAAAATTTTAAGTCAATTCCTACTTTTTTTTCACTCTATTGCAGAAAGTCCTTTATAAATAATTTACGTTCATTTCTTTTTAAGTTTATCTAGCGACATCTATGGGTAGATACATGCAACTTAAATCTAAACAAAAACTCAAATGAATGAATTAATATTTGAAAAATACTATATTCACATCCAGTGTCATCCATTGCAAGTTCAAAAAAAAAAAAAATGCATTCGTACTTGAGTGGATGAATGAAAAGTGTTTTATGAACGATTGGAAATTTGAACAAGATATATATAGAGGGAGAGTGTGAGCTAATAGAAGGAATTGAAATAAAAAAAATCAAATAAAAATCAAAATAACTATGAACAGAAATTTTTTTTTCAGATAGTAAACTGACAAAAAAATATGCGAAAGGCATGGGTAAATGGGGGTATTATTGGAGATGAAAAGGTAAATTGAGAGGACAAAAGAATGAAAATAATCATCACTTAGTCACCCCAGGGTAGTGATGTCAGTACAAGTATAAAGATGAGCACCTGTAGTGTGAGAAATCGCTTGAGAATACACAATATTTTAAATGTTTACAGTACGTTTTTTTCTCTCTCTAACGCAGCTGGCAAACATTTAGACAGCTTGGTCTTGGATGCCTTAAGGCAAGCGCTGCACAAACGTACTCACTTTGCATGACCCAGGGGGCGCGTGTCACTTGAAGATAAGCCACGGACGCGGAGTCACAATGCCCCCGCAACTCCTATTAGGACCAGGACCTACGGTTTAAAGTGGATTCCGAACAAGGTCATTCCGATTAACCTCAAATGATAGTGCTTATTCTAGTCGCTGCAACATACGTAGAGATTATTTCCATAATTCTAGTTTTCTTCGTTCGAAAGTAATTTCATTAAAAAGGATATAACAATTCGTCTATTTAAATTACAAAAGTAATAGGTAAACAAAGTTTTATTAAAAAGTTTTTCGATTAACGTTTAACGTTAACGTTTCGTTTTTCGATTCGATTCGTTTTTCGATTTACACATTACATTTTAAAAATATGAAATTTTGTCCAGGTAAGGAAAACAAATATTGCGATATACTTCCATTTATGTATACATATTTAATCAAAAGTTGACAAATTTTAAATCTATTTAAATATTAACAAAGGAAAATTATTTCTAGATCTATCAAATAGAATTTGCGCGTGGTAAAGGATAAGGACTACCGATACGAGGCGTTTAATCACTACAATCGCCGTCGAGTCTTCTCTTTTCTGATAGTAGTTCCTCCAGCTCCCAAGCTGCGCACTTTGTCAGTGGTCCATGAGTCGGGCAGATGAGAATATTGCAACAACAAACAATTTTACACTGTAACAAAAAAAGTAACAAACAGATCTATAAGTAATAGACACCATAATATATATATATGGGACCTGATCAACGGCCGAGTGACTAGCTCTCTGGTTCTAGGTGCCACAGGTTTCGGGTTTGAGTTCCCGACGGTGTCTTGGATGTTTGTAGGAGTTCAGAATCCCCTTAATCCAGCCTAATATGACTGTAGACCGTTAGGCGTAGGAATGACAACCCTACCCCATAAGAAAAGAAAACATTCCCTGTCTCGAAATCTGCCAGCAGACAGACGGCCTTTGCCCACCATGGGGCTGTTGCGCCAACGAAGAAGAAGAAGGATATATATATATATATATATAATATACAGACGTGCTCTGCCTTCGTACCTCATCACAATTTTGTTAAAAGATTCTTCAATAACAACGTTAATCTTAAATATCTAATTTAGTGCGTTATACTAAAAATAAATTAAAGTATAAGGAATGTAGCTGAAAAGAGTAAAAAAAGCTTATACTTGTAAAAGAATTATACTATAGACACAATCATTTTTAGTTTCTATAAAACGATGAATTCAAATGAAGGAATGTATGGATAAAAGAATTCAAATAAATGAATGTATGGATAAAAGAAGGCAAATGAATTAATGTATGGATAAAAGAATGCAAATGAATTAATGTATGGATAAAAGAATTCAAATGAATGAATGTATGGATAAAAGAATGCAAACGAATGAATGTATGGATAAAAAAGAATGCAAATAATTGAATGTATGGATAAAAGAATGCAAATAAATGAATGTATGGATAAAAGAAGACAAATGAATGAATGTATGGATAAAAGAATGCAAATGAATGAATGTGTGGATAAAAGAATTCAAATGAATGAATGTATGGATAAAAGAAGACAAATGAATTAATGTATGGATAAAAGAATGCAAATGAATTAATGTATGGATAAAAGAATTCAAATGAAGGAATGTATGGATAAAAGAATTCAAATGAATGAATGTATGGATAAAAGAATGCAAATGAATGAATGTATGGATAAAAGAATGCAAATAATTGAATGTATGGATAAAAGAATGCAAATAAATGAATGTATGGATAAAAGAATGCAAATGAATGAATGTATGGATAAAAGAAGGCAAATGAATTAATGTATGGATAAAAGAATGCAAATGAATGAATGTATGGATAAAAGAATTCAAATGAATGAATGTATGGATAAAAGAATGCAAATGAATGAATGTATGGATAAAAGAATTCAAATGAATGAATGTATGGATAAAAGAATGCAAATGAATGAATGTATGGATAAAAGAATGCAAATAAATGAATGTATGGATAAAAGAAGACAAATGAATTAATGTATGGATAAAAGAATGCAAATGAATGAATGTATGGATAAAAAGAATTCAAATGAATGAATGTATGGATAAAAGAATGCAAATGAATGAATGTATGGATAAAAGAATTCAAATGAATGAATGTATGGATAAAAGAATGCAAATGAATGAATGTATGGATAAAAGAATGCAAATGAATGAATGTATGGATAAAAGAAGGCAAATGAATTAATGTATGGATAAAAGAATGCAAATGAATGAATTTATGGATAAAAGAATTCAAATGAATGAATGTATGGATAAAAGAATGCAAATGAATGAATGTATGGATAAAAGAAGACAAATGAATTAATGTATGGATAAAAGAATTCAAATGAATGAATGTATGGATAAAAGAATGCAAATGAATGAATATATGGATAAAAGAATGCAAATGAATGAATGTGTGGATAAAAGAATGCAAATAATTTAATGTATGGATAAAAGAATGCAAATAAATGAATGTATGGATAAAAGAAGGCAAATGAATTAATGTATGGATAAAAGAATGCAAATGAATGAATGTATGGATAAAAAGAATTCAAATGAATGAATGTATGGATAAAAGAATGCAAATGAATGAATGTATGGATAAAAGAATTCAAATGAATGAATGTATGGATAAAAGAATGCAAATGAATGAATGTATGGATAAAAGAAGGCAAATGAATTAATGTATGGATAAAAGAATTCAAATGAATGAATGTATGGATAAAAGAATGCAAATAATTGAATGTATGGATAAAAGAATGCAAATAAATGAATGTATGGATAAAAGAAGACAAATGAATTAATGTATGGATAAAAGAAGGCAAATGAATTAATGTATGGATAAAAGAATTCAAATGAATGAATGTATGGATAAAAGAATGCAAATAATTGAATGTATGGATAAAA